AAAAAAAAAAGAAAAAGATTGTTTTAAGTCTGATTATTCCTGGAGTAGGCTTCGCTGGTGAATGGGAACCCATGTGGGGACTCTGGCAGGGCTAGGGACCACCCATGTTCACTGATTCTCAGGGAAAACACAAGCCACTGTGGTTCCTCAGACTTTTCTGGAAAGGTTAATAAGCCCATGATGGAATGGTGTGGCAAGTTATAATCTGTCAACACAAAGCATAGCACTGTCCACTCATCTTTCTCTGGGGTTATGTTGTACATGTAGTGCACAACTACCAAAGGGTTATCCCTGAGTCTTGGCATCCAATTGCCAAGGACAGCATGAATCCAGCTTCCTTTACTTCACAGCATGTTTACCTTTAGTATTTAAGCTGAGTGTGGTAAAGCCCTGGGTATAACGTATTACGTGACCTGACTGCTGGACATCAGTAAAATGGGAATGGGGCCCACCCCAACAAGCTTTGACCTGGGACATTTTATTAAATTGCTACCAAGTACTAAATGCTCTATATCAATGCCCTTTCCAGGATTCAGACTGGCAGACCTAATAGGTTTCATGCATAAAGCCTAGCATTATGTTATTCCAGTGCTTATCATTTGCAAAATGCTTGTTTCTACAGACTGCTGGGACTACATCAGCCTGGCAGTGGGGGGATGGGTCCATACTTTGCAGCTGAATTAGAATGAGTTTTACATTAACTGGAAAGCGCCAGGTACTGCCAACCACAATTATTTGGTTTGTAAATGGTGTATATAAAGGATAATTCAATTTAGGGCAAGTTACAATTACTTTTCTGTGTATTAGCACAGCCTGTTCTACCCTCTTCAAGCTCCTCACCCCCCGTTTGCCAGGGGCCTGCCTCCACAGCAGACACAGTGCAAAGACGCCAGATTTCGTTAAAAGCAATTTATTTCTCATTACAAAATACAGGTGAGGAGCACGGCGATGCCTGTAACCCCTTGGTTGCGCATCTTCCCAGTCTATTTCTGCTTCTAGAAATACCCTGTGTACAACAGCAAGCTCATGCTGTTCCCAAGTGCTTGCACATTCTAACAGCTGCAGAGTATATGACCAGGTGGAAAGTC